TCCGAGTACAGATACAGATACAGATAATTCATATGGTTAACAGATACGGATACAGATACAGATAATGCTGTACTCGCTCATCCCTAGTATTAATCTATACGGTAATTGAAACACCAGGCGCTCAATTACTGTGGTATGTGTGTATTTGGTTTCTTAGCAGGTTTGTTTCAAATAATTAGCTTTTCTACAATAATTCAGGTTGAATACTTTAGGAATTTCAATGGGGCTTAAACCTACAGCCTTTCAGTATCAAGACCCTAGTTTGTCACTGTACCACATGCTGCCCTTTTAGGCATTAGAGAAGTTAGTTGGTGAATCAGCAGCTAAGTGACTTCCTTCAGCAATCTTTTTCTCTGTCATCATCATTGTTCATTTTTATCCCTTTTTCTTCCAGGTATCCATCAGTTTCGACAACAGTACATTTCAAATCAAGATGCCTGGCAACACTGTGTCATTCCCCAATCGTTTTGGTGCTAACAAGTTCATGTTTATCCAAGTACAGGGGGATGTAAGAATCAAGGGCTTCAAGATTAGTTAAGCAAGTCTACAGGCACTGGATGTGGCTGCTGATTGGCTGTGATCAGTGCCCTATACTCTGTGAAGCTTAACCATGATGCTTATTGTTAACACCACTAATGCAGTAGTGACTATACCATGTGTTCCTTCTTGCTATATGCCTCTGTTTGAACCTGCACAACTTTCCTCGCTGGTCTTCTGAAGGTATTTTAACTCCAAACTATGAAAATAATTTCAACATTTCAGCTGTTTTAATAAATCTCACTGCATTTTGCACTGCTTTCAGTCTGGACCCAGTTGTAATGCCTGCTTTTATTTTACAGACTCAGGTGTGTCAGTTTGTCTGCATATACAGCAAACCGTTCTGATGGTTCATACTGGTTATAATGTTCTTGTCATTTGAAGCAGGTGATATTTAACTGGAAAATTAAAAAATGTTCTAGACCCAAAAAGGCACTGCAAATGTGCCATCTACCAAAAAACGAGTTACTTGCCTTGTGGGAGTACTAGACTGCTTTGGGATCATGAGGTTAAATATTTATTCTCATATTTTTACATAATCTATATGAGTGTATGCATTTTGTCACAATTATTGTAGTACATATCTGTGTTATGTCGGTGGATGAAGCAAGATGGGACCCAGCTCCTCTCAATTAACTCCTATTGAGGAACTTTATTAGGGTCACAGGCAAGAAAGCACAGGTGGCCAGCTAACACTAGCAGGGAGCAATGACCGGGCTGGGGAAGCATTTATATACACGACTAATGAAGGGGGTAACGAGGGATACGCATGGACTTTTAATACTACAGGACAGGTAGGGAAGGAGGCTGCAGGAGGACCAGCAGTGCCATCTGCTGGCCTTCAAAGGAATAGGGGAGGCTGCAGGATGACCATCAGTGCCATCTACTGGCCTTCACAGGAATAGGGGAGGCTGCAGGGTGACCAACAGTGCCATCTGCTGGCCTTCAAAGGAATAGGGGAGGCTGCAGGATGACCATCAGTGCCATCTACTGGCCTTCACAGGAATAGGGGAGGCTGCAGGGTGACCAACAGTGCCATCTGCTGGCCTTCAAAGGAATAGGGGAGGCTGCAGGGTGACCAA